GCAGTTAGATGACGTGGACAGGAAATTCTTGGCCTATGATTTATCACCTGTTGACCCACAAATCGAGGGACCACAGGGACCTTGTGATCCCAAGTGCCAGAAGGTGAGATGACTGATAGGCGCTTGTGGCTATGTGCTTGGGGAATACAGGTGCAGTAAGTGCATGCAACTGTGAAGTATGAGCTTGATCCTCCAACAAGCTCCTCCAACTTTATGCTGATGAAACAGGACTGACTTGAACAGAATCACAGCATGCAGAGTTGGAGCCTCGCAGAGGAGAAGCAGAGCCTTCTTCTAAAGACCTCGGCCTAGGTCACAAGCAGTTGGCATTTGGAGGCATCCTCTTGTCTTCTGCATCCTGCCCATAAGTCTTGCTCAAGCTAGCGCATGTCATATTCCTTGGACTGTCAAATGCACTTTTTTGAAACCAAGTATTTCTTCTAAAAATAGCCTGCCTCTTAAATCTGAGAAGGAAAAAGGGAAGGAAAGTCATCCTATATGCTCCCTAGAGGCTGTAGTCTTTAATTTTTATTTCTTAAATTGAGAGTCAGAAAATGTGGATGCAGCATACATTTAAAGATGTTGTATTATTAGAAGGAACATGGTACCCATTAGAAAGCCTTCAAGCATTATTTTAAAGAATTTGGGTGTTGGACAACCCACCTATGTCCCCACTAATGTTATTCCAGTAGTTAATGGCCCTTGCTGTTTTAAAACCCCAAACCTGCTACAGACCCCAAGAGCAAATAGTTGGGTTGTGCCCTTGTCACTGAGACTAAGATCCATTCCTGTGTCTATAAAGATAGACAAGAAAACCATGAGGCATGCCCTAGCTCCTGCATCTCCATTTTAGTCGTCTCCATCCTATGCTACAGCTCCTCATCGTGTGACTGTAGCTGTGTTTCCTTGTCCTGCAAGGTGAGAGTGCTCCCCCGCCCCGAGAAGCGATTGCCCTCCAGTTCAATATACAGAAGAGGCATTGTCCTCATAGTTTGTGGCCTAGGGATGGAGGAAGATAAGCAGTGCATGGCATAAAAAAAGAGGCTGATTTGATTCTCGGGCTGGTTTTGCAAAGGATCTGCTCACTTTCTGTCTACCTCTGAAGTTTCCTTATTGGAAAAGGTGGAGTGGTGGCCCGGGCGGTGTGTCTCAGGGCTGTGTAGGGTGGGTCCATTTGTTTTCCTTTCAAGGGTCACGATGTCCTGAATGATTGTTTCATTTCTTCTTTTCCAGAGCTACGAGGGCTTGCAGACGGGCAGGGGTTATGATCCGTTCGGCTTTGCAGCAAAGGGAGAGAAAGGAGAGAGGGTGAGTCTAGAAACATGAATGATGTCCCAGGTTACATGCCAGTGGCTACAGAGGACAGTGGGAGAGCTGTCTTCAGCCCCTTTGCATCGGTGCTTAAGGTGTTCTGTCTCACAATGCCTTGAAAATCAAACAGAGAGAGGTTTGGAGGGTATGTACATGTGGGTGGAACATGTGAGTGTGCAGGGGTGTTTGTGGGAGTATATAAAGAGGGGGCCAAAAAATGATGAGCGTATTAATAAGGAAGATGCACTTGCCTCCCAGGGGCCCAAGTTTCCTGTAAGGCTGAGCAATGCAGCACTGTTGAAGTCAGGACCTGGGCATGGTTGAAGCCAAGAGACAAGAAAAATGTTGAATGAGGTGGAGAGCTGCTCTGAGATCAGGACTGCTGTGCACTAGAACTGATCGATGATCATAGCTGATCATATACCATGCACAGAGTTCGGTCCACCCCGCCAGGGTCATTTCTGAGTCCATAAACCTGGCTGAGCTTGAAAATCCCATGGGATTTCTGAGTTTGGAAATTACATGGAAGTATTCAATGAGTCCTCAAATACCTGAAAGGTGATTATAAAGAGGATGGAGATAGACTTTTTTCCCCCCTGTGCCTGTAGAAGGCAATAGCCTCAAACTGCAGTGGAGGAAATTGAGGTTGTCGGTTAGGGGGAACTTTCTGACCATGAGGGTAGTCAAGCTTTGGGACAGGCTGCCTGGAGAGGCGGTGGCATCTGCTTCCCTGGAAATTGTGAAAAGCAGGTTGCACAGACACTTGGCTGGGCTGGTTTAATCAAGGATGATCCCACCTTGAGCAGGGCGCTGAACTAGATATCCTTCTGGGGTCCCTTGCAGCCCTACTGTCGTATGATTCTAGTCTTTTTCTAGTGGAAGAGGAGCCTATGCTCTATACAGGATCTTCTCCCTGCATTGTGCCAAACCTGCTGTAGGCCGGGCTTCCTTGTGGTTCCCACAGCCTCATCAGGGAGATGCCCCACACTTGCCCTTGTTGTTTTCCATGTGTTTAGGGTCTACCTGGGAAGGATGGGATTCCTGGACTGCCTGGCAGACCCGGACGGACAGGGCCCCCTGGCTCCCCAGGGCGGATGGTAAATATGTGGATTCATGAGCACTGTCAACATTGGGGTTGATTTAAAATAGTCCTCCCAGAATTTCAGCACCTAATTTTTCCATCCTTCTTTCTATCTACAGGGTCTCCCAGGTATCCAAGGTGATACCGTAAGTATCCTGAAACCAGCAAATCCTGCTTCCTTTAACCTGTGCGAGATCCGGCACGGTGCAGTCTGTGGGTACAGAGCAGTGCCCCTCTGTCTTAGTGAGATGCTGCTGTCATTGCAGCTGTGGAAGGGGCATGAGCAAGGAAGTGGGGAGTTAAGAGCCTCATTAGCATGAGGAAAACCATGCTTAAGGCCCTGCCCATTTTCTGCCTATGTCCAGTTGGTAGGAAGCATCACACTGATCTTTTACCATCCAATGCGGGGACATCACCCATCACCTTACCTGCTCCATCTTGTTGCTTCTGCTTATACTTGTCTCCCTGATGTTGGAAGATGCTGGCTTAGCGGGCATGTTTACATGTGCATTTATGCCATCTTAAATTTACTGCACAGTAAGTGGGAATAGGTACGCGTCTACACATACAGGTGTTAAAGTGCATTAACGCCGTGCTAATTTTAATCCCAGGTCAGTCCGCAAACACAGTGCTACTGCACAGTAAGGTGTCTAAATGTGCGTTATGGCACAGGAACTATTAGGTGTAAACTCATGATGCAGGTATCACATTTATGCTCAAGTCAACGTAAGTTGCTGTATTTACTGCACAGTAGGGGCATGCATACGTAGATGTGCACCTGTACTGCACAGTAATTTTGGTTACTGCATAGTAAAAGCACATGTGTACGTGTGCCCAGTGTGTGCAGTCATGTCTTCCTCTAGTGGCCTCCACCAAGCTGGATAAGAGCCACATCCTGGAGTTGCCCTATTATCTCAAACAAGGGGGGCACTTGTGGTTCTGGAATTGCCCACCTATGTTCAGCCTTTGCTGTATAAGGGCAGTGCATAGACTCTCACTCTCAAATTGCTTTGTTTTCCTGCATGAAGCATTGTTCCCAGTTGCAGCTACCACAGGGACTCAAGTTAATGAAACCACCATTGCCACCAGGCTGTCTTTCAGTCTCTGGGTTTTTTTTAGAGGTTATGTTTTCTTGTATGGAGTGAGAATGCATAGCCTCTCCTCCCATCAGGTAAAATCACCTGGAACTGGTCATGTGACCTGCAGTGCTAGTACTTGCTCAACTCCTGTTTGAGCTAAGGGAATACATTTGTTAGCAGGTAGAAGTGCTAGGCTGTTATCTTAAGTACATCAGCCACTGGTGAGAAATGTGTAATACACTGAACCCATGGGCTACACATGCATGGTTGGTGGCAGAAAGAAAATATCTATATTTATATCTGTGAATCTATCTATCTATCTATGTATACATAGATAGATTATACATACATACATACATATAGATAGATGTAGATAGATAGATATAGATAGATAGATAGAGCATATCTATCTATCTATATCTATCTATATATGTAAAAATCTATCTATACATATATAGAGATAGCTAGCTAGCTAGATAGATAGATAGATATGCTATCTATCTATTTATCTATATCTATGTATATATAGATAGATAGACATGCTCACTTTTTCAGAGAATATAGGTGCTCACTTAATCGAAGGAACCTGTATAAGTGAGCATCTATATGTTACCCAGTGCAACTGAGTCTGCCACGGGGCATTGCTGATTGGAACCAAGCCTATGATCAGGTTACACCATATTATTTAATTCTGTGATTTATTTTAAACCCCCAGGGGCCTCCTGGATATCCAGGACCAGCAGGGCCAAAAGGAGACAGAGTGAGTTCCCTTATATATGTTTCAATTGGAAAAAAAGCCTCTTTTGTGCACTGATGAGCTATTGATGCGTGTGCATGCTGTTGTCATCTAGTGGATAGAATCAGCCTTCCTCAAAGGTGTCGGGTGTTGGCTGCAGCCAAGGCTGGGCATTTTGATGGGGCTGTGCTGATGCTCCTGCTGGGACCAGTGCTGGAGGCTCCAGGCTTGAGGGTCTTTCCCCTCTGCTCAGGGTCAGACTAATCATCATATCTGGGATCAGGAAGGAATTTCACCCCATGGTCAGATTGGTACGGACTGTGAGTGGGGGTTGCCTTCCTCTCTAGTGGAGGGCATGACTTCTCTCTGCCTGGGGTCTCTTGAGTGTATATTAATAAACTTTTAAAGACATGGCACATCAGCTGCTGTGGTTCCCCTGCTTTGCCTGAGGCAGGGTTGGGTGTTAGGTCTTGTGTTATGTCAGGGTTGAGGGTAGCTTTACAACGAGTTTAGATTATGGATTGCATAGGGTGGTTTGGATACAGCCGATCCTGCCCCAGGTAGGGGGTTGGATAAGGTGACCTCTGGAGGGTTTCTGCCAGCCCCACTTTTATATGATTTCTATAAAAAGTTGTCAAATGTGAGTTGTTAGCCCTATACTACTAGGAGCCCTGAGGACTCCTCCTATGGCCTTGGTTCCTTTAGTCCCTTTCTTCAGCCATGGACATGTACGATCCAAGTGAGAGGGTCTCAGTCCCACCTCTGCTGAGGTCTCAGTCCCACCTCTGCTGAGGTTGTGAAGCTTTGGATGGTTTGGGGGGTGTATCATTGTGTCATCTGTAATGCTCAAAAAGTGGCTGCTGTAAATGGTGAAGTAGGTAGAGACTTTCCAGAAGGCCTCTAGCCATATGAAGGACATGGCTAGTGAGTGTCACTCTAGCATCTCTGTAACTGCAAGTGTCCCTGGGATTTGGCTTGTCCAGATTCACTCTACTATTGGGTGTTATGGTTTCCCCCCGCACAGAAGTCCCAGGGTGCAGAATGGGAACACAGAGGCACCGTAAACTTGTAGGCTGAGCTCCCAATGAGCTAGACCAGGTACCCGGAGCAGTACAACCACGTCAGCATGGCACTCCACTTGGACTCATTACCCCTGGCCAAGAAATCCCATTAGCAAATTGCTAAACTGAAGTCCAGGATGAATGGATTCAGATAAACTCCTCAGGAGCCAGAGCTGTTTTGGGTCGAGTCCATCCGTCCACATGGAGATCATGTCCTACCATTGTCCATGGGAGAGGACTCAACAGCTGTTAACACAAAATCCTTCAACTGTTACACCTGGATCCGTGATTTATGAAAGGCTCGAGTGCTCTGCTTTGGGATGTCTTTGAGTACTGCCAGCCAATATACCTGTCTCTCATTGTCCTGTCCTTTTGAGACAAGTGCCCATGTTCAGGTCTCTCTACCAACCTCTGAAGCAACATGGCAATAGACTGAAGACCCAGGAAGGCTCATTGCAAATCTCCATTGCAGTCCATGCAGTCACACTGACTTATGTCAGCAGGGGGTTCTGGTTCACCAGCGGGGAAAGGTGATGGTGGTGCATGTTTCTTGTGTTGCCAGTTTCTAGGATGGCTTAGAAAGGGAAGCTGAGCACAGAAATGTTGCCAGCAGTTGGAGGGAAGTGATTCTTCCCCGCTATTCAACACTGGTGAGGCCACATCTGGAGTTGTGTGTCCAGTTTTGGGCACCCCACAACAGGAAGGATGTGGAAAAATTAGAGAGTCCAGCAGAGGGCAATGAAAATGGTTTGGGGGCTGGGGGACATGACTTATGAAGAGAGGCTGAGGGAGCTGGGGTTATTTAGTCTGGAGAAGAAAAGACTGAGGAGGGATTTAATAGCAGCCTTCAGCTACCTGAAGTGGGGGTTTGAAAAAGAATGGAGCTGGACTGTTCTCAGTGGTGATAGATGACAGGACAAGGAGCAATGGGCTGTCAAGGGAACTTGCAACAAGGGAAGTTGAAGTTGGGTATTAGGAAAAGCTATCTCCCTAGGAGGGTGGTGAGGCACTGGAATGGATTACCTAGACAGGTGGTGGGATTTCCATCCCTGGAGGTTTTTAAAGCCTGACTTGACAAAGCCTTGGCTGGGATGATAGTTGGGGCTGGTCCTGCTTGGAGCAGGGGGTTGGAGTAGATGTGACCTCCTGAGGCCCCTTCAACCTTCATTTTCTATGATTCTCTGATCCTATAGAAACCACTTTTTGTGCTGTTTCTTGTTCAGGGAGAACCAGGCTATGTCCTAGGAGGTGTGGAAGTGATTCCCGGCCGAAACGGACAGCCTGGCCCTCCGGTGAGTAGATAATGGTGCCTGAAACAACCTCCCTCCCTTCTGCTCCCTTGACCTGTGATTATAGGGGATTGCACAGGCCCTGCTAGGGGCAGTCAGGATTCCCTTGTTACTCATGCTCTAACAGAGGCAAAGATTGGGGCCATTTGTTTATGGGAAAAGAGGGCTCCTTCCCCAAGATAGATAGAGGGAGAGGGGAAAGGAGAAGACATACAGACAGTCTAGATCAATGCTTTGCTACCCGCTTTGGGGTAATCCCTTTCTGGTGCTAGTGATAAAAAACAGAACCAGAGTCCCGGCTATATGCAGCCCTTGCATACTGTTAAATAGCTGCTGCCTTTTGCCTCAGAGGTGGCTGCCTTTCTGGCATGGGTGTGTTCACTCTAAATAATCCTATGGGCATGCATCAGGGTCACATTCATTGATATTTCTTGCTTTAGCTTTATCCGTCTCATGCACTGTGGTGACCCTCTTCCCTTTTAACAGAAGGGGAAGGGGTGTCTTCCTAGAGTTCATGCCTGTGCAGCTTGGTGATTACCCAGGCGGGGTGATAGCTGAGCACTTCACCTATGTCCCTGCCCTGCTTGGTCCCTGCCAGATTCTGGCTCAGGGGGTGATGATGAAGGGAGCTGGGGATGATGAAGGGAGCCGTCTCTCAAATATTTGGCTGAAATGCTTTCAGGGTCAGAAAGGGCAGCCAGGAGTTCCTGGAGTAGCAGGACCACCGGGGCTGCCAGGACCACAGGGACCTCCGGGGACATCCACAAAGGTGTGTGTTACTGTGGCAAGCTGCTCTTCTGCATTGCTCAGGCACGTACAGCTGGAGGCCTGGGTCCAGCATGGGGGCATAAGGTGCATTGCTGTCATTAAGTCGGAGGGTTGTGGGGGATATACATCCTCCTGCCCTCCTAGACCCCCTGGACTTCAGGGGAATTGGCTCTGTGCCTTTGAGATGAAGGGGGCCTTTCCCATTGATTTCTGTGGCTGCAGTAGGTGGCCTTTGATCACCTCCAAGGCTGGGTGGGTCTTAATGGTTCAGCTTCACAAGACTGTGAATGCCAGCAAGGTGGAGTGCCAGAAGGATTGAGGCCTGAGCTTTGATCTCCCTTCTCTTTGTTTGGGGAGGACCTCTATTTTGGATCTTCAGGGTTGAGACATCTGGGTCATGCAAGGTAGAGGCAGTTCTTCTTGCACCTACCTCCACCCTGGGGATAAGAAGACTTCACTCTCTCGGGATATAAGTGAGAGCTGAGGCCAAATGTTCAATCCTGTGGCCTCCTGCCTGGCAGGGGGGCCTGATGTTACCATCATGTGGGGTGATGGCCCTTGGAGGCCGACTGCAACCCTGTGTGGTTCAGGTTTTTAAGGGGAGGCACCACTGGAGACAGGAAGGAAGAGTATCCCCATCCTTGTCTTGTAACATTCCCCATCCTTTGTGTTTCAGGGAGAACCAGGAAACCCAGGAAACAGGGTAAGAGTTACTTCCCCTTCCACTTCTGGGTCTGCCCACGTGTCTCAACAACTGAGTAACAGCCCTGCTGTGTATTTTGAACCAGGCTTATGGATTGTGGTGGCCACACTTAACCCATGCCCTAGTGAGGCCCAGCATGGGGCTGAATCCAGAAAAAGTCAGGCAGGACCCTTTCAGGTCTCTGCCTCTCTTCTGACAAGCACACACCTCCTCGAACTACCCATTGGTGCTAAGTATGGGTGCGGGTCCTCGGTGTGGAAGAGGCCTGAAGAAGAGAATAGGCCTGGACATAATTAAGGGGTGAACTTCCCTTGGTTGAGTGTCCTGCAAGGGTTGCAGTGGTTTCTGGGAAGCCACCATACCCAAGAGACCTGCTGGAAGAAGACTACTAGTGCCTACTTGACATACGAATGCAATTGCACCGACAAGGCTTGGGTAGCTCCTAGAAACATTATCTGAGACAGTGATACCATCTCATGAACTTTACAGGGGCCTCGAGGAAAGAACGGCATTAAGGGTGACAAAGGAGGCAAGGGCGAGCCAGTGAGTATGGCCTGGGGATAGTCTTTTTCCTTTGGGCTCTTTGAGCTGGCAGCTATTGGACACAAGCCCTCAAGGGTGGGAGGGAAGAATGCAATGCATTCTGGGATTCCAATTTGTGTAGGTGGGAAATGTCTACTAACACTTTTCACTTCCTAAGGGGCCATGTGAACTTCTTCAGAGTCATTTGTGGTGCTTCATTTTATCACATGGACTGTTAATACCTTGGTTAATACCCAGACTTTCCTCCTTTACAGGGGAGAGCTGGCTTGCCCGGCCCCATAGGGCTAGATGGCGCTCCAGGATTTCCGGGACCGAGGGGGGAAAAGGTCAGTGCTTGTGTAAAATGCCTCTCTATACAAATCAGCTCAAAGTAGGGGAGAAACCATGGAGTGCCTGTTACTAGTAGGATACATCAAATGCATGGAAGGTGGAGAGCCAGGATCGTGTCCCCATCCCCCATGGTGAGGACTTGATCCCTCCTGCGTCACAGAGTAGAAGAGATGCCATGTCTGTGACCCATCCTCTATATGCCTTTGTTTTATCTCCTTTCTTGGCTTCTCCTGACACCAGGGTCATCTTCTGTTTGGCTCCTGCCAGTCAGAGCTAGAGTCCTTTCTGGTATCTGGGACTTGCCTGCCTTGGCTGAACTTGGCTGATTTCCTTATTTCATAGATTCATAGATTCATAGATTAAGGGTCGGAAGGGACCTAGTAGATCTTCTAGCCCGACCCCCCGCCAGGGCGGGAGAACAACAAAAACCCCAAAGAACAACAAAAACCCCAAATATTTCGTTTTATACCTTAGCTGAAAACCCCTGTGGTCCCTTTCCTCACATGTCCCTCCTTTCCATTCAGGTCTAAGTAGCTTTTCTACTTGCACCCCTGCAACACCAAGGGTTACATGACCAAACATCTCATAATCGTATGCTTTAGTTGCGGACTAAATCACTGCCCCTGCTTGTGGGGGTTTACTGCTCTGACTAGGACCAATTTGCTGGATGTTTCCTCCCCTTGCTGTGGGTACAATACTGGCTGTGATTGCTGTTTCAGGGGCAGGCAGGGATAGGTACTCCTGGCACGCCTGGCTTGAAGGGAGCAGAAGGAGAAAAGGTAGGTTTCCCCCCTTGCAGCTGAGTTTGGATGTGTGCAGTAGTCAAGCTCTGCTTCTCCCTTCTACCTTCAATGCTCCTGAAGGATTGGACCCAGACTCCGCCGCCGCGGTGGTGACTCTTTCCCCATTGAGGGAATCAGTGTATTCTGCCAGCTCATTTTATTCTCCCAAGTATTTGAAAATCCCGATGGGTTTAGCAGGGCATGTTGGGCAGGGAGGAGCCCTGCAGAGGTTTATCTGCAATTGCTGCATTTCTAGGGTAACTTTTAAATCAAGTCACAGACACTGAGGGTCTAATCTGTAACCCATTGAAGTCACTGGGACAATGCATATCACCCATGATGCATCAGGGCTATGGACTCCCATGATGCATTGCTTCCCCATTCTAAGATATGGGACCATAGTAAGTGATAGGAGATGCAGTCCCATATTCAAATTCCTGACCAAGATATGGGACCACAGTAAGTGACAGGAAGCCTCCACTCCTCCAAAAATTCCTGCTCAGGCATATACATTGAAGGTTTGGGTGGCCCTCATGCATACACATGATCCAGGAGGATCGATGGTTGCCATGAGTGATAGGAGATGCAGTCCCATATTCAAATTTCTGACCAAGATCATCTTCTTACCAAGATCATCTTGTTTCCATGATTTCCCTGTTTGATGGGTCTGGATTTACGTGAGTGATAGATATTGTCAAAATGAGCCCCCTGTGAATCAGTGGATAGATTCCAGCTGAGGATGGGGCTTGGAAAGCAGGCTTTGCTGGGGTAGGGAAAGGAAAGAAACAGATTGCTGGGAAGAAGGAGTGAATTAGGAGCCAGCAATGAGTCCTAAATCTGAGTTCTCTCTTTCTCTTCTCTTCTGCAGGGGGCGATGGGACTTCCTGGAGCAGAAGGACAGAAGGTGAGTATTGATGGACATGCATCCAAGCCGAATCTTTGTCCTTATGGTTATTAAAGTTAACAAACACCCTGATTGCCCAGGTTAGTCCTGTCCTTAAGCAGTATGTCCTACTGTCCAACAAGATTAGCAACGTTACAGTTTTGTGCCGGTTTTGGCCAGCTATTTTTCATCCCATTTTCATGTATGTCTGGTGCTGGGCCACAGCCAGATGGTAATTTATTGCCACCCTGATGGACAGACACAAAGAGTAGCTGACTTACATAATACTGTGGTGCTTCTTGACAGCATTTGTTGCAATGTTCGCCTACTTGCATTGCCTCGTTGTGTTTTCTGGCAGTCATTTGGCTGCAGCTCTTTGTACTCAAGTTCCGTCTTGCAGTTTTATTAAATTGAGGAGAGGGAGAGTTTTTGTCTTCTTGAAAGAGCACTCAAAACCATGGCAGGGAAGAGAGGTGTTGAGGGAGCACTGCAAAAAAGAATATCCATTTTTGGAGAAGATGGCAAAGATGAACGAGTTTTGCAAAAACCTCCTTAATTCACCGGTGTTTGCAGAGGAAAAATGGGTATTATCACTCCCACCAAAACATCTATGCATCAAGAGGCTTTAGTGGCACAATGTTTTAGCTTTTCATTAACCATAAAAAAAAAAAAATTGTCTAAGACGTGTCCTGACAGCCAGTCGCTAGTTTTGCAGATTTTCAAATGAGAGTACTTATTTGCAAATTTGCATTCATTTGCTAAATGAATTTGATGTCATGTTCTTGCCAAACAAAAAACCATGCACAGACTGGATTGTATTAAACATGGGATGGGCTTAACAGGGATTATGGATACTTATCCTATTATCTGGACTTAGCTGTTAACTGAAGTGTCCTTCCAGGTATTAACTGCTTTGTTCATATCTGTTGACCTAAACCGGGGGTGTCAAAGATACAGCCCATGAGCGGGATCTGATTTCCTGAGCCCTATCATCCAATCCCAGTGATGTCTGCGGATCTTGGAGTTGACCACTCATTTGGCCTGAGGGCCTGAATGAGTTTGACACCCCTGATCTACTCAACCTATTACCTCTCTTAGTTGCTTCTCCTCCCCTTGTCCCTTTGCCTTCTATATATATAATTGTTCCTGTCTGCCAGTCCAGTGTGTGCCAAAGAAGGTTGTTGCCTACAAAAGTTCATGTCTCTCTGAATCTGTTAGTCTCTAAAGGTACATGTACATCTGAAGCCATGTCAAAAAGGGAGGGGGTGTATTTTCTCTGGCTCAGGCAGTAGCTGTCGCTGGAACCATACCAATGCAGCACAACAGCTCCAACTTTAACCCTGCTTCATCCAGGGTTAACGTTGGAGCAACTTTGATGCATTTGTATTGCTCCGAGCTTGTCCAAAGGTAACCATTAGAGCACAACAGCTGATGCACACTCCCTGTAAGCAGCTCCCTTTTTTTGAAACAGCTCCAAATGCACATGTAGCCATGTCTAGGGAGCCAGCGTGGACTCCCTTCTGCCTCTTTTGCAGAGGAGGCCACATGGACCTGTTGTACATTTGCAAAGTTTCAGATCAAAAAGCTGAAGAAGATGGCAGGCATGAAGGATTCGGAGACATGAGACTCACTGATGGAGTTTGGAAGCTTCTCTTGGGCTCTCTTGAAACACAATGGCCTAGCCATCTGGTGAAGATGCCCCACTGTCGTTTCATAAGCAAGCCTGTTTCTTGATGATCGAGCTTTATCTGATGAAGTGTTCATTGTGTTTTAACCCTCCCAAAGTTTGTGAGGGGAGCAGCCACAAGATCCAGCTGTCATCAAGAAGCCTGGAAGACTTTGGGCACCGAAGAATGAAGTAAATCTCCTCCAGAAAACATCTGACTTATTTTGAGTTTTGCACGATCTCTCCCACGTACCTACAGAGAAGGTCTTTTCTCTTGCTAATAAGTTACAGAAGCGAACAACGACAGAAGAGAAGACAAATCTTGGTGTCAACCCTTAAACCAATGTGGATGCTTCAAATGAATTTCAAAGACTTGTGTTCTGACTTGTGACAAACTGCTGAAGAGCAAGGATGCCCTTCATGCAACACATGCCTCCAAAAGTATCCTTCTATGAAACATCAACTACTGTTCTACGAACAAGCAACCCAACTGCCTAGCTCTCAGTAGCATCTGGCATATGTAATTGTTATTCAATTTTGGTCTATCAGTGTGTTTGCTCTCAGCATCATGTAGTTATATAATTTGTGTTTGGATTTTTTTTTTCAGTAGATGGCACAGTTCATCAAAATCTTCTGTGCTGCTTATTGAAAATAGGTTTACCCAGCCTTATCAAAGACACGCCATCTTCAGTCAAAATAGCAAGAGATACTGACATTGAACAGCACTAAATTATTTCAAAGTTATGGTATATCCCTGATATAGGCTAAAGAAAGTTGGTAGCTTTAGTGGTTGGGAAATAGATGGCAGCCTTGAGACAAACAGTCATATAGGATGCCAAGTGAGTGGCCTGTCTCCTCACCTCTTTTCACATCAATGAAAGGAAATATCTTTTCACATGAGGCATAGTCAGACTGTATAACTCATTGCTGCAGGATGTCTTTGAAGATAAGAACTTCACAAGATGCAGAAGGCAACTGAAGAGTGAGACTATCCAGTCTGACTGGTGTTGACACCATTTTTGGAACAGAGTCCTGTGTTTCTCACATACAACATGTAGCTTTCCCCAAAATAGGGGGTGCATCTCTTAAGTAGGGAAGCTGTTTTCTTTGGTGGAAAAGAAGCACATCTGGAGACATGGTGCGTGCCATGCCGCTGCTAGATGGGTGCTGCTTGTGTGTGCTCAGCGAACTGGAGGGGCAGAGTCCTGTGTTAACCCTTTCACAGCCATAGCTGTAGGCTAAGCACTGTGGCTTGTACCTGAAGCAGCAAGTGAGCTGCTGGTAACAACTTGATGAGGCCTGTGTTGTGGAAACAACACTTTATGTACAGGAATTTATATAAAGAACTATTTTATAGTAAAGAAATAACATCTTGCTACTGCCCTTGCAAGAGTGTGGGACCTTGTCTTGTGTGTCATAGAGTGAGTTCTCCTGGGAACACAGGGTGCTGCCAGACATGCAGCTTCCCACTATAACTCATGGCACTTCATAGAAAGTGCCATGAGTTACAGCAACCCCCTAAAACACCAGACATTTTCTGTTGGGTAGGGGGGCAGGATCAAGCTCCACTTCAGAGCTGGCTGCATGTCTGTGACCTCTCTCCCCTAGCCCCCTCCCCACCAACTCCATTGTATCCTCCAGGATGGGAGGGTGAAAAGGGAAGGGAGGGATCTTGGGGTTTGCTGAGTCTTCACTGGAGGGGAGGAGGGTGGTGTGTGCTCCCTTCCCACACTCCAGTGAAGACTGGGCAAAACCCACTTACTATGGTCCCATATTTTAGAATGGGGAAGCAAAGCATCATGGGGTTTGCTGAGCAATGCATCTTGGGCTTTGCTGAGTTTTCACTGGAGGGGAGGAGGGCAGTGGGTGCCCCCCCCCCACTCCAGTGAAGACTGGGCAAAACCCAGACCAAGATCCCTTCTCTTCCTTCTCCTCCGTCCCAGACTGAAGACAGCACCAGGGGAATGGTGGGGCCCAGCTCTGCTCCCAGACAGGGGCTGAAAGAAAAGAATGAAGGCATGCTGCTTTGGAGTGCCTTCATCTGAACCTTCATGTAATGAGGGTTAATTTGTGGCACAATCAGGCACTTTTGAAGTGCTCTGCAACTGTGCACTTCTGTCAGGGCATGGCTCTAGAGCACTTTCAGGGGGCCGATTGCACAACAAAACATCACTTCTGCCAGCACCCATAGACCATCCATGAAACTTGGCTTCCCAGGAAATGTCACTGAGTGAGGCAGCAGGGGATCCCCTCTGGGCGTCCCCATTGTCTTTTTCCCAGTGATGGCATATGCAGCATGGGAGGAGGTTGGCAGGCTTAAATACCATGACAGCTCTCTGCCACCACGGTGTGGATGTACCATCCATATCACATTCGTTCTTTGCATGTGCAAACCTGGGGTTTCATTTTGCAGTTGTGGTGTTGTGCACCCAAATGTAGGCACACACGTGTGTGCATTTGTGGAAGTTCAGTTGGACCTCTTGAAAAAGAAAAGGACAAAACAGCCAAGCAGTTTCCCTAAGGGGTCCTGGGTAAGAAGGGGTAACGGCTGGTCTTTTTAATGAGCAATTTCCAAACTCATTTCATGGGAAATTCAGGGAAATAATGCCTCTTTCTCTTTTGTTTAGGGTGAACCAGGATTGCCTGGAGAAGGAGGACCAGCTGGCCCAAGGGTAGGGTTCTGGATGAAGATAGTCTGAGGTTTAAAAGAAAAACAGCTAATGAATTTAATGATTAAATGAATTTAGAAAAAAACATGAAAAGGTACAACAGGCCCCCGGTCTTGGCTGGAGCCTCTCATGTGACCATAGACACCTAAGAATAAAATGATGAGATTGTGTCTTGTGCTTCAGAGCTCATCAGCTGAGCATGAAGGGCAAAGCTCTGGTGCTGTTCAAAGATATCCCTTTCCTTTTCTGAACACCTTTAGAAGGAAAGCCTACTGCTTGCTTTTTGCAGTGTGAGGGGTTAAATGCTGGCAGGCTGCTCTTTTCCTGAAAATGTCTCTTCCCGTGAATAAAAGCATCTTGTGTTTTGCAGGGTAAAAAAGGCCAAGATGGTGTCAAGGGAGAGAAGGTGAGCTTAAACAAATGATGCTTGAATCTAGGCGAGAGAAAAAAAATGAGCCTGATTTGTCGCTTTGGGTTATACTGGTCAAGCTCATCAAAAATGGCAGCATTATTCTGGGCTAAAGCCAGCATGCTTGACAGGGGAACTGAGCCCAATGTCTGAGTCGTCTGAACCTAGTGAAAGTGTGGCCAACTTTCCTTTATTGAGAAAGATTATCATCCACGCTTGGATTTTTTTTTTAAATGGCTTTCTAGGCTTCTGCCATTCAGTAAGTCAATAATCAAAACTGAGTTAAATATAGCCCTGTCCAAGAATAGCCCCTGTACTTATAGCTGCTTGGATGGGAATAAGCTACTAGATCTCATACTACAAGATACAGGGAGGTTGGTCCCCAGGCAGTGGTACATGTCTTCCTCTTTAGCGTCCAGTGCCAGACTGGATGGTAGATTAGATGCACCATTGGTCTGTTGAGTTCTGGCAACTCGTATGCACCCAGTGCCTTTCAGGGGTGTAGGTTGTAGCCGTGTTGGTCTAAGGACATAGGCAGACCCAGTTCTTTGGGTAAATCTGATATCTCTTATTAGATCAACTGAAAGAGTTGGGAAAATTCTTCTTTGCAAGCTTTCGGGTACAAACACGCTTCATCAGACTAAGGAGTGCATTTTCTGTCCCTTGTAGGGGGACTGTGGAGAAGCTGGGCCGAGGGGACCTCAAGGAATTGCTGTAAGTAATTGGTTAGGCTGATTCTGCATCTTCCAAGGGGAAGCATCCCACAGCCTGTCCAGATGGCAGGGAATCGCCTTCCAGAGGTTGCATTGCCTGTTGAGCCACTTGTCAAGACACTTGCCACTGAAAACCTCATGGGCTTTGCTTGGTGTCTGCTCTGGTTACGGAGATTGGGTCCGATTCTCATGTGCATTCATGTCCCTCTTCAGTGCTCAGGCCAGGTGAAGGGATCTTGAACTGAAAGGCATTTTCCTTTCTGGAGAGGTGGAAAGGGACCTGAGTATGATGGCTTGCTTCCTTTTCCTTCATCTTACTGGGTGAACGGCATTAAGGTGGATAGCATGGGGCAGCGTATTAGAACCAACTCATCACCATGGGTTCGGTTTAGGTGCTTAATTGCTGGACAGACCTCTGGGTCTTACCCAAGAGCCCTTTTAGTACAGGCTATTGTGGGCACTGCAGAGACTTGTATTCCCACGTCTTTCAGTGAAAAATGGGGCTGGAAATCTCACAAGAACAGAAGTGTTAGTATAATTTCATGCATGAGTGTATGGGTATGGCTGGGAATCCATGAAGAATAGCTCCTACCTGGTGAGAGGATCAGGCTATTCAAAGGTAGGTGTTGGGAGACAGACTTTATCACTTCTTGGTGACCCTTTGTGAATCTGGCCCTGGTTGGAGATCAGGAAGACTTCTTACGGTCTGCTGGCTGGTTTGGCTGGGGTGGCAAAGGGTTTAAAGCATCTCGCTGCAGCTGGAGCAGTGTGAGTGAGAACCTGCTCTGGATTCATACCAATGACCATGCCCAAATGACCCACCTGCAAATGTGTAACTGGTGATTTGGGCTGGGAAGTCAAAGGTGCCTGGATGTCCTGCTGGCCACATCACTCCCACTGCCATGCTGACAATGGGCGATCATCCTATAGGCCACTGGCCTTGGGTGGACCTTTGTCCTTGATGGCTGATTAGTGGCCTAAGTGATGCCGGCTGGTGATTTTTGCAGCACTCCCTAAAGCACAAGCTTCCACATCATGAAAATCATCCCCCCCACTTAGCTGCGTGTATGTAGTCTTGGCAGAGAGGCTACGGACACAAAACTTCCCTCTCCTTGCTCCAGTTCCCAGCTGAGGTGTGTTGGCAGCGTGAAATGCAAAACAACTGCTGTCATATTCCACATTGCAAAGTGTGGCCCCCTGGGGAGACTTTCACGACGAGACTCTTATGATTATGTATAAGTTATGCTATCGTGTCACCTCATGGCCCAACGCATGGACTAAAAAAAACATTGGATGTGTTTTATTCTACTGGAAACTTCTCTTTTACATTCTGCAGGGTCTTCCGGGAAGAGTGGGGCAGAAAGGAGACCAAGTACGTAATACGATAATGAAACAATTTGTCCTAGTAGGTGGACACAGGACCTGGAGTCAGGACTCCTGATAGGCTGGATCAGAGCCTTGAAGTCATGACTGTATTGAGTTGCATTTAGAAATCCCCGTTACATCATAGACTGGGCTTGTCTACATGATCATTCATGCACCTTAGATACTGTGCATTTAGTTTAGTACTTGCTTAATAAAGTACTAAACTAAATGCATAGTAACTAGAGTTACCACACAGTAGCGCTGGTGCACGGTTTTTTTTGTGACGCTTACTGCTCATTAGCTTAATAACACTGCGCTGTAGGCTATTAGCACGGTTTTTACCTGCCACGCTACTGCACAGCATTATTCGGCTAATGCGCAGTAAGTGTCTCGTGTAGATGCACCCACAGAGTGCTAAGGGGATGATGGGGTGTGCACAAGGCCTGAGCAAAGCCGAAGCAGGCAGAGCACAAAATGAAGTCTCCTTCTATCCCTATAAGAACGAAACAATTTGTTTATGGAGAAGAACAGCTGGGCAGGAAAGGGATCTCACAAGGTTAGAGGCAGATGCATCATGCGGTGTAAGTAGATTAAGCCAATGGGACGTTTTATAAGCAGAAGACCCAGCCTCACCCTTGTGCTTTGCTTCTGAGCTGGGAGCTCACAGGTGATTGAAGAAACTATTTATTTTTTTTAGATGAAAACTGCTTAATTGCCTGTTAGCTTCATCTATGTACTTTGCTTTCCAGGGGATCCCGGGATTTCCAGGTGCTCCAGCAATGGGGGTAACTACGAGTGCTTTCTGGTTCTAATAACTTCCCGTGGGTAATGTATCTTGTGGCCTGTACTCAGTCCAGATTTGGCTTGTGTTACTGGGTGCGCAGCTTTACAGCAAGGCAGCGATGAAGAAGCAGGAAAGATGTGTTTTCCTCAACTGTCTGTTCCCACTTGATCAAATTTCCGTTGTGGGCACTGGATGGGGGGTTGTTCGTTGCACTTGTAGAAGATAATTTGGCTCCTGTCATCTGCTCCTTGTTGGAATTCCACTTGGTTAAACACTGTTATGTCTTCGGCATTATGATGTCCCCGGGGATCAAGACCAAGGCCTCTTAGTGCATGGTATTGTACAGATGCTTAGGAAAAGCAATTTTGCAATCAAATCACATTCTTTTAATCTGATTTCCAGTTATGAGAGTCATCGCGTGGCAGATTCGTGCTCTCTGAGGGCACTTTAATCTATGCTAATGGATGCTAGGACCTGCTGGAACTATCAATGCTCAGCCCTGGAATCACTCCAGTCCCTGATTTGTGTTGAGTTAAGCCCCCACTAGTTCATGTGCAGGGCTGAGCTGCCTATTAATTACCTTTCAATGCCACACTTAAATCCAAATCCCATCTCAGAGGTTTGAGATAGGTCCTAGTATCTGATACAGCAAGAAGGCTGGATTCTGCCATTCCAATGCAGTGGGTGATGTCCGAGAAAAGAGCAGAAATGGTGTTTTTTCTTCCCCTGTGGAATTTGAATTGTGCTTTCTCCCCAGTGGAACATGATGCAAATACATCCCCCTTGGGAAGGGAGGCTGTGTTTCTAAATAAGAGGACACTCATGTGGCTTCCTTTCATCCTCAGGTTGTGGGACCTCCAGGCAAGAAAGGCAGCAGGGTAAGGGTGTTTAATTGCACAGAATTAAATTGCCGTAAGTCCTTTCTCTAAGGCAGTGCAGGTGTCCATTGGGCGCATCTACACATGCATTTTATCCAGGCTAAGTTTACTCAGGAGTAAGCACTTTCAGGCATGCATCTACACATGCAGGGATTAGGGAGCAGATTCGTTGCTCTTTGCACCAAATTTCCTGCAGCCCTGCAATGGGCCCCTACCACCACAGGGTGCTAGCCCAGGGGCTGGTAGGGAGCCCGGGCCAGGAGACAGCTGTCCCCCCGTCCCGGCAGCAGGGAGTTCCTGGCCCTGGCTCCCTCATCAGGGGCAGGGGACTTGGAAATAGCTGCAGGGGAGGGCAGGTCCCAGATCCTTGCCCCGATCAGCCGGTAGGGTAGTTAGTAGCTAGTTCACAGCAAGCTGGCAGATCTGGGCAGCAGGCTGGGACCTACCCCAACCCTGCAGCTTTTTCCAAACCCTGTGCCTTAATCATGTGATAGGGGCATGGGACCACGACCTGTCCCTGAGCAGGACAGCTCCCAGCCTCTGCCTGCACCTACCCCATGGTGCTGGGCCATAAGGGTCTCACAGCACTGGCCCTGTGGCCATGGAGCCAGCACTGGGAGATAAGTCTCCCAGCCCCCACCTCCCCAGTCATGATGGTGGAATGGGGGCTGGGAGATAAGGATTTCCCACCTGCTGCTCCCCAACGGCGATCTCAGAGCAGGGTGGTTAGAGCTCCCTGCTGCCAAGATGGGTGGACATAGACCCCATCCTGGATTTTGTGGCAGAGCCTGCCCTGGCAGCAGGCAGCTCCTGGGGGCAGAGAACTATCTCCTGTCCCCTGATGTACGGCTGACCAGGTGCAGATTTTGCTACATGAGCACTACTTTAGTGTCTACATGAGCACTACTTTGCCGTTACTAATCTTGAGTAAATTTGCTACTTGGATTTGCAGGTAGCAAATTTACTCTGGATTAGGGAGGTTTACTGCATGGTAAGCATGTGCACATGTAGACGCACATGCTTACTTTGCAGTAAACTATGCTAATGGGCACTTAAGCGTCTCGTGTAGATGCACCCACTGTGATGTGGGCAGACCCAGCATCCCAATAGGATGGAGATGAAGTGAACAGAGATTAGACACTGACACGTGACCAGTAACAACAATCTTGCTCCAAAAATCTGGTTTTGTACAAATCCTGGAGTTGTGGCTTTTGCTTCACTGGAGGTTTTCAGGACGGGGCTGGGGAGACATCTCTCTGGGCAGCTTAGGAACAGCAAATACTGCATCCACACAGGGAGCTGGACTCTAGGCAACCCTTGACATCCCTTCCAATGCTATGACTCGACCGTGACCATGCATCTAGTATTAAATGATGCTTGGCTAAGCCATTCTCTTTCTAGGATGCTGTCTAGAACAATTATTCGCTTTCAGAGCAGTTGAAGCTATGGGCTATAATGTATACGGATTCCAGTGGCCATATAAGCAAGGCTGGGCCTTTCTGTGCAATGCTACTGACTTTGTGACTTCTTTATTTTCAGGGGGATATTGGACCCATTGGTCCTCCCGGACTGCAAGGAAACAAAGGAATGCAAGGAGACAAAGGAGAAAAGGTAAAGAGCATGTTAATGCCATCCAAGCCATTCAGTCTGTAGGCAGAAAGCAAGGGAAGGTGGCACCTTGGAGACTAACTGGTTCAGAGATGCCACAACCTGCTTTGTCAGATGCTAGGAGTGGATTGGCAGAGAGAAACAACTGTGTACAGAAGGGAAAGGGAGAAGGGGAGGGGACACTGACAAGAGAAATAAGAAGAGGGTTGATTAGCTCAATTAAGATGCATGAGTTAGTTAACACGCGGAGGATCACCAGAGTTAATGGCTAGTCCAGGTCGTGGGATAAGAATCCATAGCCCATGCTGAGATAATGTTTAATACAATTCCTCTTATGGATAGGGTGACCATCCTCCCCATTTTTCCAGGACAATGCTGGATTTTGGAGGGTGGTCCTGGGCATGAGGTGCAAATTAAAATGAGCATCTGGGGGTGCATGGGCACAGTCCAGTAAGGAAGGGATGGGAGGGAGGACAGTGTCCCAGATGTCTCATATTTCCACCTGGGATGGATGGTCACCCTACTTATGGATAATTTCTTGTTCTGCAGTTTTACATTCAAGTTGGTTTTTAAAGGGGTTTCTTTTTTCATGTGAGGACAGCTACTCTGAGGTCAGTGATGGACTGTCCGTGGATGTTAGGGTCCCACCCCAGGCTTGTGCATGCTTCTGGGACTGATGTTGAAGTGGTGTCCATTTATTATTTTATGCCCTGGGGCCATGGGGGAAAGAAGTGCCTCAAGAGAGGAAGAGGTCGATGGCACAAGAAAGTGATGGAGTACCTGCCATGCTTCTGGAGAAGGGTGGCTGGCAAGTGGAGTAGGGTGAGGTAGTGCCAGCTGGTGCTGAGGGAGGAAATGATTATTCAGACTCTGTTTCTCAAAGGGTTTTATGGCAGAGCAGTGCTGCTAACATAGTCCTGGCAGGTGTCACCCAGGTGGGGTGGGTTACCCGCTCCCTCTGTTTGTCACCCAGACTCTAGCAATGTCCGGTGCCCTGGAGGGAGATTGTTCAGTGTGTTGTGTAGGAGCAAGACAGGCCTCACAGACAGTGCTTTTCTATAAGACCCAGTCCTGAAATCCTCTATGCTGGGTGTTAAGGCCAGGGCTGGACTCTTGGCCAAGACATGGTGAAGAGACATGGTTTCATCTCAAATGTCCTTGGGGTGCAGATCAGGGAGCAGAGCCAAAGGATCTTTAGGTTTCATTGCAAGCAGCATAGTGATGAATTTATGTGTATTGCTTGTGCTTCTACCAGGGAAGTCCAGGCTTTGGCATTCCTGGACAACAGGGATTGAAAGGAGACCCTGGAGAAAGGGTGAGTGTGGCCAAGTGGTGGGTGGAAACTGAGAAGGGAAAGGATGAAAAAGGAGAAGGACCCTGAGCTGACTTCTGCTCCATTTCAATGACCAAATGGGACTTCAGCAGGACTGCATTGAGACAAAACCTGGCCTGCATGGCCTCTCATTAGCAAATTAAACCAGGAGCAGTAGTGATGCACCTCAAAATTGAACCCCGGGTCCCCAGGGCACTCTTGCATTACAAGGCAGCTCAGACCAGGCTGCGTGGCTGCAAAGTAAAGGGTTTAACTGAGGGGAACTGCGAATAAGACTTGCCTGGAGGGCAGGGAGAGCATTCCTTGGGACACCCTATGAATAAATGTGTGTGTGGAAATGGGAGATCAAAGCCCTTTAGATGAAAAGCATGCTTTTGTGCCCTCTTCACATGGGTTCAGCTGCAAACCAAAGAGCATAGGACTGAGTCTTTAGCTAACCTATTTAACGACTTCTTTGCCTCCATTTTCCAGCTAACCTATTTAACGATTTCTTTAACGACTTCTTTGCCTCCATTTTCCTGAGCAGGGACCAGATCAGCCCCCCCACTGGGCCCCCCTCAGGCCCCAGGGGAGGTGCACCCGGGCCAAGGGTCAGGGAGGATCTAGTCAGGGAACGTCTGGAAGGACTGGATGTATTTAAATCAGATCGTCCGGACAATCTCCACCCCAGGGTGCTGAGGGAATTGGCTGCGGTCCTTGCGGGAACCCTGGCACGGCTGTACGAGCACTCGTGGTGCTCTGGTGTGACGCCAGAGGACTGGAAGAGGGCCAATGTGGTTCCCATCTTCAAAAAAGGAGGAAGGAGGACCCGGGGAACTACAGGCCAGTTAGTCTTACCTCCATCCTGGGGAAGCTTTTTGAGAGAATTATTCTGGTGCATGTCCACGAGGGGCCGGCAGGGGAGAGGGTCCAGAGGAGGCCACTCGCATGATCCAGGGCAGCAGGGCAGGCCTTACGAGGAGAGGTGACGGGACCTGAACCTGTTCAGCCTCCACAAGAGAAGGCTGAGGGGGGATCTAGTGGCCTGTTACAGACTAGTCAGAGGGGATCAGCAGGCACTGGGGGAGTCCCTGTTCCCCCGAGCACTGCCAGGAGTGACCAGGAATAACGGTCACAAGCTGGCGGAGGGGAGATTCAGACTAGATATCAGGAGGCGCTACTTCACGGTCAGGGCAGCTAGGATCTGGAACCAACTTCCAAGAGAAGTGGTGCTGGCTCCTACCCTGGGGGGCTTTAAGACAAGGCTTGACTATCACCTTGCTGGGGTCGTTTGACCCCAGTAATCTTTCCTGCTATGGCAGAGGGTTGGACTCGATGATCTGCTCAGGTCCCTTCCGACCCTAGAAACTATGAAACTATGAAATACAAAAGACAGCTGAGAGCAGAGACAGGCTTAGCCAAGAGAAGACTCCATGTGGGGGCACCGGCTTGGGCTACCCCTTTATGATCACAATTGTCTCACTTGGAGTGGGCCCACACCGTCACACAGAGATGCCACGGCTCTGTCCCCAGTCTAGTATGGCAGACATGGGCACACTTTGACCAAGGTTTTTAATCAAGACTCGTGTCTTTGGGTGCTGTGAGCGCTTATGTTTTCTTGGGAGCTTTGGTTTTCAGAGGGTGGGAGCTCAGCAGTCTTGGAAACCTCAAGTCCCTTTCATGTGTCAGGTACCCCATACTGGTCGTCATTTCTGAAAATCTTGGCTACAGCACTAAAGTTAGAAACAGACAATGAATTTATCCCTGGACAAATTGTGCCTGTATTTGTCCTGGAACAGAAATATTGGGGGATTGGCATGTACACACGTTGCCCTTCTAATCAGGGTTAAGTGACCGGCTGAATGCACGGCCACTTTTCTGCCATTGATTCAATCATACAATCCCAGGATAAGTGTTGAAACATACTTTGAGATGTCCTGTTAGTATTTCTTAACCCATAAACCTTTTTAGGAGGTATTCCAGGACAACAGACATGGACACATGAATAATTGTACTTTGTCTCGGGATAAAATGGCTTATCTTGTGACAAATGTGCCATCTCTTTGTAGCCTTATATTCCCAATAAAGGACATTTTGCTTGGAGATCTCAGAGTTGCTTCCATGGGTTTTGTCTGACATGGGTGGTAGGTAGCTGGGTTCATAGACATCCACAGGCATCAATCCTGCCAAATGACTTACAGTCTGATTTTTCCACAGGGAAACGTAGGTTTGTCTGGTAAACCCGGTCAGAAGGTGAGTGCTGTACTCCCAAAGCAAAAACACAGCTTTCATTTATTATCTAAATCAGCTTGCATCAATGACATTTTGTAAAGTAAAAAAAAAAATCTACCTTGCAAATGAGATTAAAGTGGAAATTTTGGGGATTAGAAACTGCAAGGCTCCAACAGCGAGTTTGGTTCTGACGTCCTGCACATCCTGGAAGACCCCATAGGTTGGAGGAGTTTAATTGCACGGTCCTCCATCCTAAACTGGCATTTCAATAAAGGGTGTTCATGCCTCAGCTATCAGCCTCTATATGCAGAAACATAGGCCTTGATCACGGTGGAACCAATATTTAATCCCTTCTGGAGAGGTAAAAATAACATGGAGAGATGTAGCAAAGAAGGGGCTTGAAAACTGGCTTCTGAAATACCTCTCAGTGAGTACTGCCAGGCTCATGGCAAGGAGAGATGAGATTTAGAAGATCTGCTCAATACAAATATTTCTGTCCTAGCAATGTTCCCTAGATTTTGCAGAAGGAGTTTTCCTTTTGAAAGTGGTCCCTTGATAAAATGTGGTGCACTGAATGGAGGGTGTCTTAGGATGGCCGTGTTTGGGTGGCCTGGACAAGGTGCGCATAAGATACTAGGGGGTGAGGGTCCGAGTGGAATTGGGAAGGGTTTCAGTGGAAAGACGTGAAGGGTGTTTGAGCTGGGAGGTAACACGGCAAAACTGGTGGGTGATGAAGAACAGATACAAAACTCTGTTTTTTACCTCGAGCAGGGGAGATGTTTAGACCTGAGCAGCATGACTTTGGTCCACCCAACACCTGTGGGCATAACTGTCATGCAGAGAAAAGGAGGCTCCCGTAGCATATCAAAGACTAAGGGTGCAGACTCATGACAGATTTATGCCAGTCTGATTTACATTGGGTTGTGTGTCCGACCCCTAAAACAGGAGTGTTATGTTATGACCTGGGGAAGAAGAAAGTAACAGTTGTATTCATTGCTTCCTCCAGGGGGAAATGGGCCTGAAAGGAGAGAAAGGTCAACCAGGAGCACCTGGGAAACCGGGAGAGACCGGACTAAGAGGTAAAGATGTAAGTAAAAACTAATGATCCAGTCAGATGGGGCATGTCAGTCCCGGGTGCAGAATGGCAGCCTTCTCTAGATGCAAACAAACGAAAAAGAGGCTCAATAATTGGCCTATGTGGCTCCAGGCAACATTTATCTGAAATAGCTTGTGAGTCGTTTCAGTAAGTGAAAATCAGGTACGATCCTGGCTAAAAGATACCTCGAGCAGAACATTTCTGTGGCTATACATAGGGCATGATGGAGAGTATACATCCATCTACTCAGAGATAATCCATCCAGAGTGTCCTGGCTCTTTAACTCCAGCCAGAGTAGGACAAATGCATTGTGCCTTGCCATTTAGGTCACAACAACTTGACCTGGCATCATCAGACTATGGCATATATTATAATGGCAAATTACGATGACCTGACATCATGGCCTGATGCTGTTGCACCAGCCCTGAAGGATATTTCAGGACACACTCATCTCTTCAGGGCATCCACCCACAGACAGCTTTATTACAGGCCTTCAGATAAGCCAGCGCTGATGACTGCCAAAGACTATTCTCCTTTAGGTCACGTGGTTGAGTTGAACATGACGTAATTTTTCCATCAAAGCAGTTGCGACCATGTCGTCTGATGGAAGTTTGGATCTCAAGAGTTCCTCATACTCATTCAATAGGTCTCAAAAAAAAAGAGCCTTGATTCAGATCTCAGGTTACCTCTGTGTAACATCACCTGTTTTAGAAGAGTTACTGTCCGTTTCTTCTGGCACCAAGAAAGCAGACTTGGCCTAAAGAGACACATCCAGATAGAAAATGGAGAGTGACAAAGCTGGTAACAAATTTAAATTTAACCTGAAGCTTTGCTTCATGTTCTAGGGAGAACCAGGGAAGAAAGGGGACACGGGGACCAAGGTAACACAGTGGAGTTTTGATTTCTGCCTGTAGCCATGAAGCTGACTCCCCTGAGCTGTAGACTGTAGTAGAAAGTAGAACTCCCTAATAAATATTTGTACTGTATAAAGCTGCTAGAACTTGTCCCCCTCCAAGATATCAAAGAGAGTCTGTTAAAATTCATCCTGTCAGCACAAAGGACCTTCTTGGGTCATCAGTAGGACATGGCCAACAACCCTTTAACTCCTTGCTGCTGTGTATTGGGTGCATTCCCTTCAGATAAGAAAATTGCACTTAGGTTTGGCATGTTTTGCCCCACCTGGCTCAATCAGTTCTGCCATTAAGCCCCAAATTCTCATTTCCAGAGTTTTCTTCTGGCTTCATTTTCACTTGCCATCATTAGAGGGAGACATTGAAGGGTCAGACTGGAACTCAAAATGTTTTATGTTAGTGGGACAGTTCATTTGATTCTGGGGATGGTTTTGGGATGGGGCTATCGCTGGCCTGTTAACTTCAATAAGGAGAGTGGGAGTCTTTCTCCATTGGTGATGGATGAATTGCTGTAAACCCATAGCCCATTCTGTAACCTTCCCCTTCTCTAGCACCATCTCCCCCTTCTCCCCCTAATATTGCTTTACTATATGGGAGGAGATCTTGCCTCTCTCAGTGATATGAGGCCTGATTTACTGTCTGAGCTAGCATCTGCAGCCCTCAGTGCCATACGCCTTACATCCCAAATGACGGTGAAATCTCTGAGGGTAAGGGCATACAAATGACTTGTCACAAAGTGAAAGGGAGAGTTTTACTGTCTGTCAGCTGCCCATGTTTACACTCTTAGGACATTTGTACATGCCACATTTTTTGCCCTTTACTCTGCAGTAAGTGGAGGTTAAACTGTTGTGTCTTCACCTGCAGAGAAAAGCTACTGTGACTTATTTTTCACTTAGGGAGCACATGGGCAGGTACCATAGGACAGCAGCAGCATGGTGAAAGCCCAGCCACTTTTACCCAGTGATAAGTTGTTTGTATGTCCACACTATGAAGCAGCTAAGTAAGCTTGTAAAAAATACCCTTGTTTTTCTTTTAGGGAGAAGCAGGTGTCCCCGGAGAACCAGGGGAGAGAGGAATCAGGGTAATAATTCTTCCAGAGGCACAGTGGAAAGTGTCATTTGAAACACACCATGGTGTCTTTCTGGCACTTGGTTTGCGTGTCTTGGGTATAGGGATGATGATAGGAAGGGGAGATGGTATAATATGTTTGGCAGCTCATGGGGGCAAGGACCCATGTTACAATCCCACTCCCCCTCCCTGACTGGTACTGGTTCTTCTGTGGAGGGTCTTGTGAGCTTTAAAGACCACATCCCTCAGAAGAGGCCCCTCCTAGATGAGGCTGGAGAGGTCAGTGGGGATGGAGTGGGGAAGATCATACTGGCATTCCCATGAATCTCTGAATAAATAGAACATACCATTCCCCGGGGCTCTTTCTCTTCAATCCCAGCATGGAAGCTTAATTGCATTGAATAGCAGCCTTCAGCTCCCTGCAGGGGGGTTGCAAAGAGGATGGAGCTGGGCTGTTCTCCATGGGGGCAGATGACAGAACAAGGAGCAATGGGCTCAAGGTGCAGCAAGGGAAGGTTAGGTTAGATATTAGAAAGAAACTTTCTCATGAGGAGGGTAATAAAGCACTGGAACCGGTTACCCAGAGAGGTGGTGGACTCTACATCCTTGGAGGTTTTTAAGACGCAGCTAGACAAAGCCTTGGCTGGGATGATCTGAGTATTTCCTACTTGAAGGAGGGGGCAGGACTAGATGTGACCTCCTGAGGTCCCTTCAACCCTCATTTTCTACGATTCTATAATGCTATTTTGGTAAGACCTGCTATACCTGTGTGCCAAGAGCAATATTATGTTTCATTCCTCATCATTTCTGTGCATTGTTTTGCAGGGTCCTTTAGGGCTTCCAGGCCGTCCTGGAGACCGGGGGGTAAAAGGAGACATGGGAGAACCTGGAAGGGACGTAAGTCAATTGTTGGAGGAGGGTGAACTTGGGAAACAGCATAGCTAATCAAATAAAAGGCCATGGCTGCCGTCCTAAAATATGGAGGGCACCAATAGCTGTGTGCTATGGAGCATGGTAGACCTGGCCCTGAAGGTCTCCTTTCTAGGGGAAAGAGTGGAACAAGTTCCTCTCTTCAGTCTGCTTTACACCAATGCCAGAACCCTGCCATGGGTGCAGATGACATGGACCCCCACTTTGAGGGCATAAAACTCCTTAGCCCCACCATAGAAGAGTAGTCTATCCCAGGATTGTCCAGCTCTTGGATGACCACACTGTCCCATCACCATGTCCCCTGAGGGGTAGCAGAAAGTAGAAGCTGGAGGGGGAGAGGATGTCCGGAGACCCCAGGGGATGAGAGGAAGGCTGTGCCAGTAGCAAGAGCAGGTGATTGAGGTGTTGATGGCTGAGTTGAATGGTGCCTGAAGCCATGGGGGCCAGGGAGCCAAGGAAGTAAAGGCAGGGGAAGCCCATGGGCTTCAGGATAACCTCTTGTCCCGCACATCCACCAGTTGGAAGTTGTGTCTGTGCTGCGCTGAGGCTTAGCATGAGCTGAGTTTCTGGAAGCACATAGAGCCCTGTTGACTCTACTGCCCTCCTGAGTCATGGGAACTTTCTCATGTTGCCTCTCTCTCCACCTCCTAGGGAGTCAACGGAGAGAAGGGCGAGAAGGGCGAATCTGTAGGTTTGCATGTTCCCGTTCTTCACCTTGCATGAGCGAGTCTAGCATGGTGTCTGCATTACTGACTTTCACCACTTGCCTTTTGGGGGGTGTGTGGGGCTGGGGGGAGGAGGGCCTTATGTCTCTTCAGGGGAAGCCTGGGCTGCCTGGGGCACCTGGAAGTGTTGTGAGTGATTTGTTTTCTTGACCTGCTCATCAGGCAGGGGGTGGGGGGCAGGATGCTGTGGCGATGGGAAGGAGGGACTTGCAGTTCTTTGCATGATGGAGCGCGGTGAGTCTAAAGCCACGGTGCGATCACTCCTAGGGTGTTTCCTGCATTTGGTGTCTTTAACAAAGAAGGTGGTAGCATTGCACCAGACTTAATTCCTTCCACTGCAGCAAATGTGTTGCAGCAACTCTATTAGTGCCACATGCGTATGTGTGCATCAAGACAGCCGCAAAGGAGACCTTTATCTGTAACCATCCAGAAGACCACTTAAAAATGTGGTTAAGTCTCCCTGCCTTCAGTGGGTTCAAGTTAAGCAGGTTACCCCCAGCATGATACACCAGAGGGCTTTTGATTGCCCCAGGTGTTGCAATCTTGGTTGCCATCTTCTCCTATGGCACTTTTTGTGATGGTGCCCCACTCTAAGACCGCAGTGCCTCTGGGAACAGGGGAGCACAAAGGTGTCTTGATGGCAACCTCCTGGCTGCCTGGCATCCTCAGAAATGGTTTAGACAGGGATGATCCTGCCTTGAGCAGGGGGTTGGACTAGACGTGACCTCCTGAAGGCCCTGCCCATCCTATTTTTCTATGATTCCAAGGGCAAGAAGATCAGTGGTTGCTTTAACCGGGCCTTGCCTGTGCCGACACAGTGATAGCTTCACCCAGAGACTCGAGGAGATTGCCTTTGGGGTGGGAAGGCCAAGGTGGCTCTCAGGACGAGCTCCTTCTGACCCATGCAATCACGTTACTGCTTCGTCACTACAAACGGCCAAGCAGTCCCACCAAAAAGTGAGAGACCACAGCTGAGAGTGGCTCCGAGCAAAACCCAGGTCCAAACCTCCCTGAACTGTGCAGAAGTTTGAAGGTAGATTGATCTTATCCCAAAAGAGGCAGAGCCAAACCTTTTGCAACTCCTGGAAGCACAGACCCAGACTTGTACATCCCGGCTGGCTTGTCCTGCTACAGTCCAGACACCCTTCTTGCTCCCTATCCAAATATCTGAGTAATTTGAATCCAGTCTGGTTGATGGCCAGTTTTGAAGGGAGGAAGGAGAGAGTTAGTTGACCCTTGTGTGCAGGGGGTAGATCACATCAAGGTAGATGGTTTGCAGGGCTGAGGTGCCTCAGTAGAGATCCGGTCCTAAGTGGGTCCTAGCGCACTCTGAGCCTGTCTTTCTCTTGTAGGTGTCTGCTGTGGAAAACAGCATCCCCCTCAAAGGCGATAAGGTAAAGTCCTTCCCTTTGCTGGAGAAGTGATGGGTTGCACTGAGTTGATTTTCCTGTATGGTTGGACTGCCCATGTGCATACTCTTGGAGGAGAGAGTGGGGTGGTGGACGTTTGACTGCTGACTCTTTTGCCAGCCTTGGACATAAAAAAGGGGGAAGTGACTAAAAAAAAACGGCTTTATACCCTTGAAAGAGACTTAACTGAAATAAAAACCTTAAGCAAACGATAGGAAATAGAGAGGATGGTGTCCTCAGAACTGCTTCATATGCGAGGAGCCCAAGTGCCCATGGTGCTACTAACCCAGGCCACAGCTTCATGGTGGCTCACAGACCCCAGCACGAGGCAGAGAGGCAACTTAGAGACTAACTGGTTCAGAGATGCATGAGCCTTCATCGGCAATCACTAACAGCAGCACGGTGAACCTCACTGCACTACTCCAAGCAGCCTGGCTCCTGAATCAAAAGCAATGTAGCCACCATGGTGGGTGGGTAGACCAGCTAGCTTAGGGGTGGACTAATTATCCCTGTCACTCAACAGTGCTAACCAGCCCACCCTAATTGTGCACCCTACGGTGCTTGAGTCCACATCTGAATCCAGGGCCAAAGAGACTGGCAGAAAAGGGAACAGCTAGTTGTTTGTGCCAGCCCTGGTAAGTTTGATGCCTTCACCTAGGGTAGGAAATCTCCATCCAGGTGGGTCTTTTAAAGTATACCTGGATGACAGTCAGACCGTTGATCACGGTATAGTGGATCCAGGATCCAGGAAGGGCTGGCAGTAGACAACAGCAGGGTCCATACTTCCACAGTATTTCCATCCTTAGTTTCATTAAACAATGGGGGAGATCAGCATTGCTGGAGTGTTGTTCACCATCTGGGAAGGTGCATAACTCCATACAAGTCCTAAAAAACTACCGCAGGAGAGGAAGAGGGGAAAGCTGTCCCCATCCCTCCTATTCTTTGCCCAGCAGGAATGGGTATTAAAGCCAGAGCCTGGCCTCTTTTGGACTCTGATAACTCTTGGCCCCGGTCATGCAAAGGTTAATGTACCCGTGTAATGTGCCAAGTGTACGAGGAGTCCCGCTGGAGTCAAAGGGCTGTTTGTATCCATGAAATAGGTTGTGGTAGGAGCAGCGACTGAGACTGGAGCCTGACTTTGTTGCCTGACTGTGGAACCTGCTGCTCCATTTATTTCAGTGCTTTAAGGCTGTAAAATGTCACTCAGATCATTTACAGACATTGCCCTGGCAGGCTGCATTACTGGCCAGCAATAGGTGGCTGGCCAGAGCACCCATTCTTTCTAGCCTGTTAGAGAAGGACTGGGGATAAACCTACAGACACACACTGCAACGCCCCAGGAAAAAAGTGATAGCATGTTTTATTCTGTGTGCTTTGGTGGGACTTGATGCCTGATAGCGGTCTTGTGTGTCTGTAGACACATGGGGACAAGTGCGACATCTCATTCCAGCCTCAGCCTTTAACATAAAATGCTATTCAAACTCCGGGCCCTGCTCCACGCTCAGTACTATCAGCACAGATAAAAGCCATCAGCCTCCAAACATATATGCTCTGCTGCAAGCCCAGCTGGACATTTAAATCAGAGGAATCCAATCAGTGTTTCCCAGCTCTGGGTGGGAGTTTCTTTTGCCGTATCCTCTCTTCATCAGACAACTGTTGTCAGCCAGGGAGGGCAGGTCTTGCTCGCTGCCATCAGGGTAATTCTGGGAGAACTTTTCCACAGCCCTAATTATTCCCCACTTGGGAACCAGTGATAAGAGGAGGAAATGATGCCCTGATCCTTGGGAAAAGGAAATACTGTAATTTTTTAGTTCTGCGAATAATGTCCTTTTGGAAACATGGGAACTAGGATGTCAAACCTACCTTCAGGGGGCTAATGGTTGGCCAGGGCCTCTGGTGTTTTATATGCTTGTCCTTCTTTATAGTGGATAATCCATGTTCCTTGCATAATTTCCTTATAAACTATGGTCTTGTAGTGTGGATAAATTAGTAGAAATAGAGCAATTACATTCTGGGCTGCAGTTACCGTATTTGAAGCTACGATGCTGCAGCACAGTTAGGTGTGCAAACACCTACACAACACACAAGACAACCCCAAAGATTTCAAATAGGGACCCAAAGTGCCAAAAGCATCCTGACCTTTCTGAGCTCTTTGCATTATCATTGGCAATCCCTCGCTGTCGAGGATGGTGGTCTTCCATGCTTGCCTTATCCGGGGGTCTGAAGATGGCTGACGAGGCTGATATGGGATCGATGGGTTTTATCACAGCTTGGGCACATGTTTCCGTGCAGGGTGGGCGGCTTTGGGATCTCGGTTTGGTCTGCAACACACTTCTGCTCCTGCTTTGCCATCTCTTGGTGTTGTCATGAGGTTTCAAAGTACTGAGATCCTTGCGGCTGACTCTTCCTCTATTCGGGGCAGTCCTGGGCAATAGGCTCTCATGAGTAGATGTTGAAGAGTTCCTTGCAACAGAGGAAGTGCTCTAATACTTTTCCTTAGTCAAGAAACAAGTGAAAGTTAGGAGCTGGCATTTTCCAAGAGGCGCCTTGAGTCTGATGAAGTTGAGACCCACTGCGTTAGAGTAATTTCTGGAGCTTGTTGGATTTATTTCCTTTCCCAGGCAAGCACACTGAAGGTGACTGTGGTCCATGGCTTTCTGGTGCCCTTCATTCCACCGGAATCTGTAGGGGTCAAAACCAGATTTCAGTGAAATGAAGCCCTTCAGACATGGAATTCAACCCCTGGCTTTTTCCCTGCTTTAATGCAAAGATGCAAACTGGGCATCATTTAGTCCAGCGCCTGTACTCTGTGCTGCCAGGCTGCTAATTCAGTGCCAAGGTAGCTTTGAAGCTCAAGTTTCTAGTGGCAATGTTAACCCACCAGCACTGTACATGGGGAGTGTTTCCAAAGAGGGATTTCTCATTACATGTGCAGCTTAATGCATTAAAGGGGATAGCATGACTATGGGATAGGATGCTGAGTCAGGAAACCAGGGTTCTTATCATGACTGTGAATGTGCCTCAGCTGAATGAGCTGTGAAATGGGAGGAAGAACCTGTCCCCCCACACCATGGTTGGTCAAGGAAAGTGGGAAGCAATTTCGAGATCCTGCAATGTCCCTGGTGGCACTTTCATTTTCATGCTGCTTGACTGGTGAATCTACCTGGGCAGAGCTGATGTTGCATTGGGAAAACTCACAGCATGTCATCGATAATCGCCTGCATCAGTCAGTTCTTGTGCGTACGCAGTATCTTTACAATGCGTGTGACATGGTTTATACCGCTATCAGGACTGGCTTGGCTCCAGGCTACGTCTGCATATCCATGGCCATTTTATCCATGATGACTCAGTATGTAACTCTGCATGTGCCCCCTCTGCCAAAAGCTCACCACCATGAATGGAACAAGTCTAGGTTGAGAGCTGTACTTTGCAGTTACATGGGACCCATTTCCAAGGTGGGAGAGACAGGGATTAAAATGCGATTCTGATCTGAAAAGTCTGTGAGGATGTGAGGGTGCTCAACACCTCAGAAAGTTTAGTTGAGTTGGAAGATTTTTGTCTAAATGGACTTTTTTGGCAGGCGTGCCACCATTTAACCCCACAGATTGCTGAAGTGCTACTTCAGTCCCCTTCCCCTACCTGATCTGCTGCTCTGCTTTCTGTTCCCTGCCCTATCTGCCACTGTGCTGCCTCTCCCCTCCCTGATCTTCTATGCGTCACCCATGTAGGTTGCCCATGCCGCTTGTGGCACATGTACTGCATAGGTCCCAGTCAGGTAAGCACCTTGCCTTTGGACGGCAAAATCACGGTGGCATCTCATGCACAGCCCTGTGTGAGGTGCCTCATCACAGAGGAGTGGGGTTCAGACATGTTCCCATGTCTAGCATTTCCTGTTGGTTCCTTGCTTGGAGCCGTAGGAGGCTGCTACCCGTCTCCATGAGCTGTACAAGGATCCTGGGTGCTAAATTTTGGAATAAACCCCTTACATTGAGGCACCTGCACGAACGGTTTGGATGTGACCCCTTGAAATGAAGCAGTGTTCCCCAGATCACGCAGCAAGTCATTGGGAAAGTAGGGAAGAGAACCTGGTCCCAAGCTCCAGCCACTGTTCAGCTTCCCCTGCTGTCATCTCTTGTTGCCCTTGTTAATTAGTTTTTGTTCTTTGTTTAAAGGGAGATCCAGGTCCTCCTGGCAAAGGAGTGGAAATCAAGGTAAATACAAAGAAATGTTGAGCCACCCTTTCTTTCTGTCCCTGACTTTCCAAGGCCTTTCTGGCCCTGGGATTCAGACACAAAATCCCTGGCCTTGGGATTCGTTCAAAATCATAAGGAATCCCATGTAGGCCTACCAAACTGGTCAGAAATCCTATCCCACTTCCAACACCATTTTAAAGAAAGCTGTGAAGTTTTTTTCCACAGTGTGGTTTGGATCTACATTTGCCTGGACAAGGTTAGCAGACCTGGGAACAAGGAATAGAAGACAGGCTCTGCAGTATTCATCATCTTTCAGTGACATTAACCATGATAGAGAGGATGGAGATGGTCTTTTCTCTGTGCCTGGAGGGGACAGGGCTAGGAGCAATGGCCTCAAGCTGCAGCAGAGGAATTTTAGGTTGGAGATTAGGAGGAGCTTTCTGACTGAGGGTGGTCGAGCACTGGAACAGGCTACCGAGGGGGGTTGCGGTATCTCCAGCCCTGGGAATTTTCAAGAGCAGGTTGGCCAGAAACTGGGATGGGATGGTTTAATCAGGGACAGTCCTGCCTTGAGCCAAGAGCTGAGACAGATGACCTTGTGAGGTCCCTTCCAGCCCTATTTTCTTATGATCCTATGATAGGTGTGCAGATCACTCATGCAGTTCCTTTGAAATTTAGCTTGAATTAAATATAAAGGAGAGCTGCAAGTGGGTATCTTTGCCCTATGGCTCCATTGAGTAAACATAAGCACTGAATGGAGATCACAGGGAAGGATCTATTGGATTCCCAGGTAGTAGCAATGGGTAAAAATGCATGATTAGCTCTTCGGTTGACCAACAGATTCCAACTCTGGCTTAGGGTCACCGGGATCAGTAGCATTGCTTATGCTTTGGTTGCCTTTAGACTACTATACTGCCATATTTTTACCACTCGTGGCTATACTTGAAGTCATTTAGGAGTGTAAGCTAGTGCAGAATATCCACCTTCTAAATAGGAGAGACATTACAGAGCCCTTCATACCAAGCACCATGCAAAGCACAACTCCTGGCAGGGATATGACCCCATTGCATGACTAAGTTTTCATTCAGGACATGGGGAAGTATCTAAAGGTTGCTTTCCCTTAGTGATATGCATCTGATGGCTTTAGCTTGGTATGAGATCTCCATGTGAAGTTTGTTACTAAAAGAGCAGATTAGTGTGTGCACGTAAGAACCAGCACTTCCATTACTGCCATGACACGCAGATTTAGGGTCTGAGCCTATTCCTACTTAAGCCACTAACAAAGCTCCATGGGGATTTGCATCAGGCTGGTAGTAGAGGGGACATTATCACACCTCGTCCCAGTAAGGTCTGCCTGAAATTATGTCATTTCCTTTTCATAGATTTAATAGATTTCATAGACATTAGGGCTGGAAGGGATTTCGGAAGATAGTTTCATAGTTTCTAGGGTCGGAAGGGACCTGAGCAGATCATCAAGTCTGACCCCCTGCCATGGCAGGAAATAGTACTGGGGTCAAACGACCCCGGCAAGGTGTTCATCTAACCTCCTTTTAAAGACCCCCAGGGTAGGAGCCTGCACCACTTC